CCCCACCACTCCCCTTTCCCTATCCCTCCCCACCCCAGACCCCTTTCAGAGGAGGAACGTCGGGATTATGAAAATACCAGCGTTAGAGCCTGTATACTTAATTTATTCTGAAGAGATTACAAAGAGCATTGGTTACAAAACTTTTATGGAATACAGAGCAGCGATGGGTTCATGAGAATAAACTAATAATAGAACTAGAGGAGTAATGTTACGTTACAGTGCGCCGAAAAATCCAGAATTACCTTGGCATGAGCCCTCTATAAAACTTATATAAATGAGAATTTTAGTGAAATTTGGAGAATATCTGGTTTTTTGGAAGTTTTTGAGAAATATAATGATATTAATGTAATTTCTTAACAGTTCCTGATAGTGATTGGTACGAGTACATAACATCGTGTACCAAAATGGCGTAAGCTGATGTGCCGCGTGGAAAGTTTTCATTCGCTTCCAGGTCGATTTGAATATCTAGCGGGCCGGGTTTGATTATGTCCTCATACAGGCATTTCATTGCGAACATGGGGTTTTCTTCCTTGAACTTGGACATTGACAACGGCGGCTCGCACAATTTTTCGTTCTGGGAATAATCCACCATAAAACTGAGATAGTATTGTAGGAAGAATAGGAATTTATCGTTCTCGAAATCTTCGTTCAGAGCCTCGTAGGGTAGGGAGGCATTGTTCAGGTGAACCTTGAAAGACCTCAATTTCACGTGATCAAATTTGCTGGCGTCTTTCTTCTCGTTGTCCAAACGATTAGTCTGGAAAATCAAGATGATGTACGACGGTGCCTCTACGTTGCTGGTGGTCATGAGTTTCCAAGTCTCCTTATCATTGGCCGGGAGTTGTGGGTATTCGTGCGTCTCCCAACTTCGGAAAGCAATCTGGAATGACTCGTTCCGTTTCACCTTGTCCAAGATGGCTTTTTCAGGTCCGAGGTTGTACTGGACTTGCGGCATCTCCCACACAACCTTAGTTACGAGGAGATGGACCGCGTTTTCTTCTGCTCCGTCTTTGATCGTAAAGGCGTTCTTGTCAGTTCGGGAGCGGATCAATACGAGCTCCTGCTTGACTCGGATGAGCACGCCCTTGAAATCGTCGGCGAACCCCAAGAGCATACTCAACGGCACCAGAGCACGGAAAGTCTTGTCTCGTGCGTTGACGGACGGGCCACCCCATCCAGCATACTCTAATCCAGCCACCTCGTCCTTTGTGCGGGTGAGCAGGGTCCTGGCGGTGCTCGTAAGCCCCACATGTTTCGTACGGTCGATTTCTTTGCCGTTCACTTCGTAACGCACCTGATCGAAGAGGAATGCGATCGCATTGTTCGAGAGGAAAACCGTCTTTCCATCGTCCTTGGCGGCCCCTTCTCCTTTCGGAATGTATTCCACGGTCCCCTCGACGTAGAGCTTTGATTCTCCGGGTACCGTGTACAGATCCTGGCTGTTTACCGGGATGCGGATCTCATCACTGTTCCGGAAACTACCGATGTACGGGTGTTGAGGGTGATATTGGTAGTATTTAATATCCCGAGATGTCTCCATTTTTCTTATCCGAGAACGGTGTAGCCCAGATGTTGAAGAATTCGTCGGCTGTAGAGTGTTAAACGTTTGAGCGTCGGCTTATGACTGGCTCGTTGATGCTCAGGGCTGTCTTTATGTATACTTTTCAGTTTACCCATCTGAATTGGCGATTGTTTTGATGTGCAAACGGACCGTCACTGTTTCTCCGCCGAAATCGACCGGTTCCCCGTCTTGATCCACAATACTGATGCGCAATCTATCGATGCTGGTGGTATTTATACGATTGTAAATAATCGTTCTTGGTGACAGCGCCATCTTGTAACCAGGAGGGACGTTAGGACTGAAAGCGAAGATTGTATGAGCTACTGCTCCGTTGATGTAACTGCCTGTGGCGATGTTGCACTCGACACGTATTATATTGACCGAGATAATGTTGACGGGCAACTCTGACTCGTGCTCCTCTCCAGCGGATAGCCTTTTCGGTAGGAAACCCAACAATCGACCTATCGATCGAGGTTGATCGAAATGTATGTCCTCCGAACATTTGATCAAACATCGCAGAGTGCTGTTGTTTGCTTGCAGCGTCAAATTTTCCGGTCCAAGCTTGCTTTGAAGGAATTTTTCGATAGCCGTTATTTCGTAAGCACCTTTGGGAATGATGAGCTCCTTCTTCTCTGGTCCGTAGCAAAACACCTGGTTGGATTTGTTAATGTTGGGCACGGCGTTGAAGGTTACAAACTCGACGAGCCCGATGTAATGGACTTTGCGCGGGTCAAGAGCGAGGGGTGGCGAGAAAACGCTCTCGAGAACGTTGCTCCTTCCGCTCAGCAAGATTGTCTCACTCATTTTGATGTCGGATCCCACAGGCTCGCCGCTTTTATAAGGAACTTCAAGCAGAGATGACCGCAGATGACCGTGTCGAAGGACTGTTGCGCATCATAATTGTACTCGATCGAGTTGCCGCGGAGGTAGCGCGTTACCTCGCGAGGAGGTGGAATGTCGCCGAAACTGTTGTAGTACAAGGCGTGCTGACCGCGCTTGACGAAGGCGACCCAATGAGTACCTGAACCCTGACTAGAGTCTAGGTTTAGGATGCAGCATTCGTTTTGGCGGGGAGTCATCCGACTCAGTTGGTCTCGCATAAAGACACCACGGAAATGTGGAATCGATA